CAATTAACAGAATAATTCTGTTACTTGACTATTAATTCTATCAGTTGAAAATAAATTTTTACCGATTAACAGTCAGCTAATATATAGTCGGCTAATAGAATTAATAGTCAATTAACAGAACTAATAAAATATTAAAAGTAAGGGTTATTTTCTTTAATTATAATAGATGAATGATTAAAAGTATCATAATATAAGATAATGAGTCAAAACATATAAATCTAATAAGATAAAAGAATAAAAGTAGGTTTTTGCCCCATTTTACTGGCAAATGAGTAGCCATAGATTGTATTTGCATTTTTTATTACTAGTCAATGGGGGTTTTATAGTCTGCTTCATGAAATTCATTTTGGGCGAAAAGTTTTTGCTTCTTGCCGTGTTTAAATTTGCAACTGCCTACAATGAAGCTGATCGATTTCCCATGCTTTAGGAAAAAATGCATGTAATCTAACAAAATCATTCATTCCAACTAATTTCCAGTAGCATTCTTTAATTATTTGTTTCATTGACTTAGTCTTCCCCGCTTGTACCTACGTACGTACAAAACTTATTTGAATAATTTGCTTTTTTGAATAATTTGCTTCTTAAATTACAACTGATTACGGTATGTACTGTATCTAAATAATTAATTATTCAAAAAAGCTATATAGAATGAATTGTACATTAAAAGTATAAATTATTTTATAAATTTGTTGAAATATATTTAATAATTATTTTTTTTGTTATTTTATTAATAATATTTTAATAGATTTATAAAGTAAATTATATTTTTAATTTACAATTTGAACGGTTAAATTAAGGTGAACCCTTTCACTATTACTAGTAATATAGTAATTATTTATTTTTTTTATTTTGAGTTACTTTACTTAATTCATATATCATGTTATTTAAATTTAGAATCTTTTGTTTTGAAAAAATAATATAGTAGTTATATTACCATATTCTTTAGAGAACAAATAAAACAATAAAAAAATTATTTTACAATATGAACTATATTAAATTATAAAACAATTATCCTTGAAGGGAAAACAGAAAAATAGGACACCCTAGTGCCAGGACATCCTTAATGAAACGGGGCGTTTCATTAGGCAACCCATTACCACCTCCTCTTTTAACATGGTAAACCCTCTTGGCAGGGACGGAGCCAGAAATTGAAGTTAAGGGGGCCAGGGGAGAGGTTAAATTTTTTTTGAGTTATGTATTAGTTCATGTTAACATAATTTATATTAATTTTTATATTGATAGTTTATTTTATGCATGTATTATTTATTTATACATGCAAAACTTTAAATTAATTAGATATATTTAGTTTATCAAGAAAATTAGATATATTTACTTATTTTTGAATGATATATACTTTAAAATCTCTAAATAAATAGTATTAAAAATATAATTTTTTTTAAAATGGTTGCTTATATCAAAACAATTTTAAATTTGAAATAAATGATTTATAAGAATAGAATAAATTTAACATTATTTTCATAGTATAAAAATTGTACAACAAAGTTATACATAACTAATGTAAAAACTTATATAAGTTATATTAATGTAATTAATTAGATTTTGACTATTTTTTAATATTTTTTCTTACCTAGACCAAATTATCATATCTTAAAAATTAATCACAAGGAGAGAAATAATTCCTTTACCTAAATCCTAATTTTTTTTTAATATTTGAATTGGTCCCAATAATTTAAAACCTCAAAAAATAAAATTTTGTAGAATATAAAAATTAATGTACCATATTTGAAAATTTTCAAAACCTTAGGGGGGGCAGCTGCCCCCCCTTGTCCTACATTGTCTCCGTCGCTGCCTCCTGGCATTCTTGGCTCTTACCTTACACAACAATCAAAACACACAAAAGAGCCCCACCCATGTTAAAGCTCATGGTGGTTGTCGACAGCACATCCAAACACAAGCGTGTGGACCGGTATGTATGTCCATCATCGATGAACCCACCACAAACAGAGCTGCCACCATTTCTCCACGGAACAAAGCGAAACAAAATCAAAAGTAATTTCAAACCATCAAATACCCAAATCAAGCTTATGCTTTGATATTTGAAGCTGTAAATCAAGAAAACAAGTGCCAAACGGCAATCTTGTGGGTACCCAAGAGATCTACAGAAAGAAAGAAATGTAATCGAAATCGAAGTGTGAGAAATGAAATGGGGGCTTTTGAAGGAGTTGGTGAACTTTTGAGGTTCAAGATTTCAGATACTCAAAATTTATAAATTTTCAAAAATTACGAAAAAGAAACTTTGCAAAGTAGTTAATGGCCCTACAGGAAGATTTGATCAAACCCTTGGTTGTCGATTGAGTGAGGAGGAGAAGGATTTTGGCAATGCAAGCCTGTGTGTTGTGTTAAGCCTGCAAGTTGTGTTAAGATGGGAAGGAAGGGCTGAATGGAAAACCAAGTTAAACGCACCATTTTCTTAAGGAATACTTGACACCAAGACTTCTTGTTTTTCTGTTTTCCTATCCTTGAATTGAGAAGGACCTCTTAATATAGGGCTCTT